AAGAGACCATGAAAATGAACAAAATCTGGCTACCAGTATTAAAAAAAACTCTAAAATTACAACAACAAAACAACAGAGAGGAAGCAATCAGGGACTGCTAATCACCTCTTAAGCCGCTCCTCATAGGGCTTGTTCTCCAGACCCTTGATCATTTTAGTCGCCCTCCTCTGGACACATTCCAGCTTGTCAATATCTCTCTTGAATTGTGGTGCCCAGAATTGGACACAATATTCCAGGTGTGGTCTAACCAAAGCAGAATAGAGGGGTAGCATTACTTCCCTAGATCTAGACACTATGCTCCTATTGATGCAGGCCAAAATCCCATTGGCTTTTTTTGCCGCCACATCACATTGTTGGCTCATGTTTAACTTGTTGTCCACGTTAAACATGTGATTCCAAAACACCAGGAGGGCCCCAGTTGGGCCAGGCGTGGCTGGGCGCCCTTTGTGGAGGAGGCGGGGCAACGCGGTCTCCTCAACCCGAATAGGCCACGCCCCTTTTGTTTGGCCCCTCCCACCCCTCAGCCGGTCCTTCAGCCGTGACGCCTCCACGGTCTGCGCAGCCGCAGTCGCTGCCGGCGACGGTTGTATCCGGCCGGCGCCTTTTTCTCCTCCTCCTCCTCCTCCCTTCTTCCCTCATCTCAACTGCCGTTGCTGCAGCCCTCGCTCCCCCCTCCTCCTCCTCCTCCCTTCCGTTTCTCCCTCTCTCTGTCTCTATGACGCGATGGCAACGGCCAACTTCGGCAAGATCCAGATAGGGATCTATGTGGAGATCAAGCGCAGCGATGGTGAGCCGGCGAGAGGGAAGGGAAGGGTGGGGTGGGGAGGCTGAAGATGGAGGAGGAGGGGGAGGCCGGAGGGATGGAGGAAGGCTCGCCGTCAAGGCCCATTGTGAGGGGGGTGGTGGTAGTGGCGGCGGCGTGAGGCCTGTGAGGCGCTTCTCTGTGCCTGGTGGGGAATGTCTAATGCTGTGAGGGAGACATGGACGGCAGGCGGGGTGGGAGGTTGCTGCAGTGCTGCTGGGAGAGAGGCAAAGAAAGAGGGGAAGAGGCGAAGGAGAGAGAGAAGCAGCCCCCTTTCCTCGTGTGTGGGGCTGGTTTGAGGGACTGACAGGGGAAGGGCGTGACCCTCGGGTTTAAGAGGCCGGGGGGCCAGGAGAAGGCAGGGATCCTTGAGGGCTGGAGAGGCGTGTATTGTGTTGTGGGAGGAGAGGAATGGGATAATGCTGGTAGTGAGGAATGTATGACAGGGTGTGGACTCTGTGTCTCTATGAAATCCACATTGAAATGGATCTCTATTTGTTTATCTAGCCCAACCCACTGCCATGCAGGAAAAAGCACAATCAAAGTACCCCTGACAGATGGCCATCCAGCCCCCAAGAAAGGAGCTTCCACCACACTCAGAAGACCCTCCCACACAGCCCTTCATCCCAGAATATCAAGGCAGAAAATCCCACATGATCAGAGTCTGGTCTCAGATAACCCAGTTCAAAACAGATATTGTGGGGTTTTCTGCCTTGATATTCTGGGATATAGGGCTGCTTGGAAGGGCCCTTAGATAACCCAGTCCTTTTTTCTATAAGCCTAAAAGCAGAGTTTTCTCTGGGCACCACAGTGTACCTTTGCTTGAGTCAGGCTCATTCCACACAGCTGAAGAAAATCCACATTTTCTGCTTTGAACTGGGATAAATGGCAGTGTGGACTCAGATAACCCAATTCAAAACAGATATTCTTGGATATAGGGCTGTGTGGAAGGGCCTTTAGATAACCCAGTCCTTTTTTCTATAAGCCTAAAAGCAGAGTTTCCTCTGGGCACCACAGTGTTCCTTTGCTTGAGCCAGGCTCATTCCACATAGCTGAAGAAAATCCACATTGTCTGCTTTGAACTGGGATATATGGCAGTGTGGACTCTGATAACTCAATTCAAAGTAGATATTTTGGGATTTTCTGCCTTGATATTCTGAGATATAGGGCTGTTTGGAAGAGCCGTTAGATATCCCAGTCTTTATTTCTATGAGCCTAAAAGCAGAGTTTTCTCTGGGCACCACAGTGTTCCTTTGCTTGAGCCAGGCTCATTCCACACAGCTGAAGAAAATCCACATTGTCTGCTTTGAACTGGGATATATGGCAGTGTGGACTCTGATAACTCAATTCAAAGCAGATATTTTGGGATTTTCTGCCTAGATATTCTGGAATATAGGGCTGTGTGGAAGGGCCCTGAAGCAGAGTGTTCCACTGCTGAAGCAGCAATACCCGTTCATTGATATAGGTGTATATGGGAACAGGAATAGGCAATGCATTTTCATCATGCACTTGTTGAATTGGGGGAGGGGGAGAGAAAGCACACCCTCTTTCCTTTCCTCTATAAGCCTAGAAGCAGAGTTCCCTCTGGGTACCACTGTGTTCCTTAGCTTGAACCAGGCCCCTTCCAGACAGCTGAAGAAAATCCACATTATCTGCTTTGAACTGGGATATAGGGCAATGTGGACTCAGATAACCCAGTTCAAAGTAGATGTGGGATTTTCTGCCTAGATATTTTGAGTAATATGGCTGTGTGGAAGGTCCCTGGGAAAGATTCTGTGGGCCCTTCCACACAGACCTATATCCCAGAATATCAAAGAAGAGAATCCCACATTGTCTAGTTTGAACTAGAATATGTGGCAGTATGGACTCAGATAATGTGGGATTTTATTCAGCTGTGTGGAAGAGGCCTGGGTCAAGCAGAGAAACACTGTGGTGCTCAGAGGGAACTCTGCTTCTAGGCTTATAGAGAAAGGAGTAGGAAAGGGGGTGTGCTTCCTTCCCCCTCACCTCAACAAGTGCATGATGAAAATACAATGGGTATTGTAGCTTCAGCAGTGGAACACTGCTTCAGAGTGTGGTAGAAGCTCCTTCCTTGGGAGCTTTTAATCAGAGGCTAGATGGCCATCTGTCATGGGTACTTTGATTGTGCTTTTCCTACATGGTAAGGGATTGGACTAGATAGTCCAGGCACGAGCCATCTTCAGCCCTCCAGGTGTTTTGGACATAAACTCCAAAAATTCCCAGCCAGCTTTCAGGCTGTTAGGAATTGTGGGAGTTGAAGTCCAAAACACCTGGAGGGCTGAAGTTTGCCCATGCCTGAGATAGCCCATGTGGTCTCTTCCAACTCTGTTATTCTATGATTCTACCCATTACTTAAAGATGCATGTGAAGACTTTGGGGCTCAAAGAGAACTTGGCCTCATTGTTTATAGGTATGGTGAGGTTGGAGAGCCGACTTGTGTCCCTGTCTCTCTGTGTCAAACAGAGAAAGGCTTTGGTGCCTAGAGAGAACTTGGCTTCATGGCTTGTGGAAGGAAGGAGCAGGAAGGGGATGTGCTTTTTCAGATGTGCTTTCTCCCTCATCCTTTCAACAAGTGCATTATGAAAATATATCACGTATTCACACTCCCACCTTAATGTGAAAAACCACATACTTGCCTGGATGGCAAGGGATACAGGGATGGTGAGATAAGAGAGCTGGTGTGTGTGTGTGTTTGGATTTGTGTGTGTCTTTTTTTGTTTGTCTTTGTGCCCAGAGAGAGCATGGCTTCATGGTTTATAGAGAAGGCTGCTTAAGTCCTCTCCCCTGAACAAGTACATTAAGAAAATATATTGCCAATCCCATCTAAGTGAGCTACGCTTGCATGAATGGCTGATACGTTGAGTAACCATTATCTATCTCAGTCACCCATGTGGACAACTTTGGATACTGGGATATTTTGGAATTATAGATAAGGGATGCTCAACCTGCATTTTTAATTACACTTATTAGAAGAATGGAAGAATGCTTGGTAAGCTTCAGTATGCCCCCCCTTGTTATTTAGCACAAGTCTTGCTGTGTTGTGTTCAACTAAATAAGATCATCACTCTCCTTAGCACCCGGATGTTTGTCTTCCCGCCCCCTCAGGAGGGATGAAGTTCCTGTGTTGACTCAGTGTTTTCCATTTTTTGCCCCCGTGTTTCCTAGCAGCAGCCTGTGTGGGACATTCAATAGATGGAGAGGAAATGGCCCTTGTGAAGCTTTGGAACAGTTACCTTTGAAATAATATGAATATAATATGGTGGAGGGCTGCAATACGGAGTGAACTGATGGGCCTAGCTCTGTTCCTCTAAGATCATAAAAGATCCTATTGGCTGTTCCTTTCTGACTTTGGTGATGATGGGGTGCGTTCAGGTTGAGATTTTTTTTCTAGAAGGATATTCATCCAGCAGTTTTGAATATTCTTTGAAATACAGAAGGATTTCTGTGGCGACTGAGGGATATAATGCTGGTGTATTCAAAGAAAGAATAAAAAATCTAGTGCTGTTAATAGTGCTTTCTTTTTCAGCTTTTGTAATAGCACTGTAGGTACTGTGTTTTTATTCTAACTGTACACAACTGCAGATGTTCATATAGTAATGAAATAGTCATGTTAAGGCGGGGCACTTTGAGTCCTTTAAGTAGGATAGAAATATTGCTCTTATTCTAGTTTCAAAATGACTGAGGGATGTTTTCTTTTTCCCTCCGCAAAGGATGGTATTGGGAGAACTAAGTAGGCAAGATAATTATATCTTCTGAATAGAATTAGTTTCTTCCTTGGAACTGTTGCATTCTGTCCTCATTCCCAAACTCTTCCAATTGATTATAACAGGTAAAACTCTTGCTGCAGCTAGTGGTGGAAGAAGAGCTCAAGAATACTAAATCCCTACATGAAGAAGTTCCATGCCACTTCTAAATAGTTTAAGGACTAGATCATAATATTATTGAAAATAAAGAGAAAATTCTTTAAGATCATTGTTCTGTGTGATTGATATAATAGTTTATAGGATGGGACATGCCATATTTTCAAGTCCTCTTGAGTTTCTTTGCCTCAAAATAGCAATATGACAGGATGGCTTTTGATGGAAGAAAATCACTTCTCGTTACAAAAATAACTTTGCAGTTCTTTAGATTATAATCTGCCTCCCCCCAATTGTGTAATACAATGGGAATTGCATTAATACTATACCTTTTCAAAATATTAATTATGTTTGCATTTGTAATCTCAGTTTACTCAATAAACAGCATGGGAATATATGGAAATTGCTATCTACATAATATTTCTTCTACAATGTACTTGACTGTTTTCTAAAACACATAATTTTTTTCCTAACAGACCTTTAAAACTGCTTTATGAATGAAACCTCCAGAGAAAAGTTCTATGCAGATTATTTTATTATCTTTTCTCTCTCTTAAAAAAAACTTGTTTCCTGGCATAAACAGTTGCTGTAGCTTTTCATGGGTGCAAGCAGAATTAGTATAAAATTGTTCTTCCATGATATAGAGTTGATTAGATTAAGAGTTAGATGAGAACATATACATACATTGCTATTCAAACTGTGACTGGTATTTTTCTTAAATGCAATAGAGCTATAAAATTCACAGCTTTATCATAAGGCCACAAAAATGCACAATAACAAATATTTTTAAAATAAAGCTATTTTCTAACAATGCAGTATATGAAAGGGTCAGGCACTGTGAAAATTAACTAGCTAATGTTAAAAAGTTGAACAACAGTTGCTGCAATAATGTGTATATGTAACAATGGATATAGATGGAATTAGCAAGAGAAACATTGGTTGAAAATTGAAGTAAGTGAAAATAAAATTTATAACACGGGTTTGGTTCTAGGCCCTCCTCATGGATACCAAAATCTGTGGATACTCAAACTTACTATATACAATAGTGAAGTAAAATGGTGTCCTTTATATACAACGACAAAATTAAGGTTTCCTTTTTTGCAATTA